CACACGAGGAAGAAATTCCACCCATGGTGCCAAAAAGGTGATGTATCTGTTGGTGAGGAATGGAAAGTGTTAGTCCCCACAGCAAACCTAAGAGACAGAGGGCAGAAATAACATGTCAAGAAATGTTTTGTGCTTCTATTGAAAGCTCAGTTGTTCAGATACAACCTTTATAACAAAGTGAAAAAAGGAGAAGAGGAAGCCTTCCCCAGCTACCTTTACCTGGGTAATCTGTGATCCCAGCAGTGGAGGGCATTTCTTTTACTCTGGATGTAAAAGTGGTTTCATTTCTTCCCACTAACTGAATATCCAGTCTTGTGTTTACAGGTGGCATGAAGTAAAAACCAAACTGAGCAACACAGTTTTATGTGGCCTTTGCTTTGAAAGGGAATAGTTGTCTTTACAGCATTAACTTTTATTTCTTCTGTTTCTAAACACAGACCACCCAAAAGTCTGAATTCTGCACTTTTGCTTTATTGTTGTTGTTGGTTTGTTTTTTTTGAAAAGAGGTTTTATATTCTCTGTGCTCAGAAAAATGGTGCAGCCTGCTGGGTGGATGAGCACAGCTTCCTCTCTTGCTTTGTGTGTGTGTATTCAATACACCTGTCAAACACAGGAATTCTGACTTTTCAGGATTTAAGGTGCCTCCCTTTTCCTTTAAAACTCAGTCAGGCATCTTTTCTGAGCCCTGGACTGACACTGTTCTCCCACAGGTACACAGGGCAGCATTCCCACAGGGATTTTTGTTTGATCCCTTAAAATGGTACCTGAGCTTCCCTATCCATTCCTTCAAGCCTTGCCTTCTGGAACCTCCAAAAAACGGAGGTTTGAGGGGAAAACTCCTGCCAGGGGTGTCTTGCATGTCATGGTGGGCATGAGATCACAAAAATGAGACCAAATGCCCACCAAAACATTTTCCAGAGCCTCATCAATGTTCCCTGGGTAGTGACACTCTCCACATGCCTTGTGAATGCCTGAGCTGAGGATACACAGATTTTAAGTCTTTCAAGATGGTTTAAAAAAAAAAAAAAAACACATAAAAATCTTGAACTCAATGCTGTAAATTCTGAGATGGGTGCAGGGTTTCTCTTGGATGATATCCATTGCCTTTTCCTGGAGGCAAAATATCCAAACTTTATGCTGTGATGATACGAATTGTTTTGAATATTCAGTGTTATTGTTAAGAGTCAGATGCATTTCAAAAGAATTCCTGATTGTCTGTTGAAATTGTCTCATTGCTTTGGAAGCAGGGAAAGTGTAGCCAGTTTTATCCACCCACCAAAAAGCAGCAGCCAAGTGCTCTCCCCCTGCCATGCTCTGCCCTGTAGTGACTTGGGACAGCATTGGAATTTTTCCCTGTTCTTACTCTGGAGTGATTGCTCTTATTTTAGGTGTAAACTGGATTGTGTAACTTCCTGTACCCGTTCATGTATGGATAGATTTTTTTTTTTTTAACTTTTTATTTTTTCCATTTTACAAAAATGAACTTGAAAATGAGATGCTTGTGTTCATTTGGGATGTGTGACTGTGTGCCTGTGAGTGGAACCCTCTGGATGTGGGATTTTCCATGGCAATTGCTTCTCCTGCTGGCTGAAGGATTTCCTCTAATCCACTGTGACCAGCTGAAGCTCACAGCTAAAATGTCCTAATTTTTCATTTTGGATTTGGTGAGTCATTGCTGACAGCTTGGCAACAGTGGATTACAACAATGAGATTTTTAATATTTTAGCATCTTCCTTATGCTGAGATTTATTTAGTACATCCTTCTCCTGATCTGGGCAAGGGGAGATCTTTGCAGTACAGTTCATTTTCTGAAATGTCTCCTCTGGTACAATTTTTTTGACACAAACAAAGGTGATTGCAGATTCTTTGTATCCCCTGGTGTGTTATTCCCATCTTTCTGCCCATTCCCTGTCTGTATTAAACTGCCTCCTGTGCAGTCCAGGCCAGTTCTCTAAACCAGACCAGTGAAATTGGTTTGTTTGGGTTTTGTTTTCTTTTTTTTTTTTTCTTGGACATAACACACTTCAGCATGCCTGCTCCCTCTGCCAAAATACCCTCTGCAATAAGGTAATAAATCACTTCATTTTTTTCTCTTTTTTTCTTTTTTTTTCCTTTTTTTTTTTTCTGATGTGGAAACCAAATTTCTGGCAGGGGAAACAATCTGTACCTTGGTTCTCTAAACCAGATCTAAGCTTTTGAGTGCTGCCAAGCCAAGGCCACCTTGTGGGGCTGTTGGAAGTTGTGGTGAGTTTGTCCTTCAGGCGTGGCTGGCTTGGGTCACACCATGGAAATGCTTCGTGTGTCTGCAGAAGAATCTGCTCTTCATCTCTCCAGATGTGAAAGCAAGGCAGTTACTGCCTCTGCACCCATGAGATTTCACTTTTATTTTAATTTTCCGAAGAAAAATGAGCTTAGTCATGCTTTTGAACGTCCTTGCAAACAAAAGAATTTCGAATCAGAGCAGAAGGAAACCCTCAGTTCTGACTTTACCCTTTCAAGTCAATGTTTTGATCGAAGTATTTGACATCCCTGTAGGAAATATTTGAAACTCCCATTTTAAGTTATTCCCTGTAACTCCAGACTCCACCTTACAGTGAGAACTTGAGGCATAGGATGCTTTGCAGTGGTGGAGTTAAAAACTTCTAGCTGTAGGGAAAGTTATTAGGTGTATTCTAGGCAGTATCTGGACTGCTGAAGAAGATTTTTAAAAGAAAACGAAATGAAAATTGGGTACAAATATCCAGGAGAGATGCATCTGTGAATGTTTGATCTGATCTCTCAAATTCTTGCATTTATGTGCGCTGTAAAAAATGAGATCTGCAATGTAGGTGGCCCTGTGTGCCACCAACTCCTGAATATTTCTCATTTAATGTTCTCTGTGTGACACACGGGCTCTCGGGGCTGGGGATGGCTGTGATGAGTCTCTGCTTTTCCAGAGTTGTTGGAATTTGCAGTTTAGGGATGTCAGTGAGGGGGTTTCTCCTCAGAATGTGGGAGAGAGGGGCAGGGAGGAGGAGCAGCCCTGCTGTGTCTGGTACAGCAACTTTTAAAGCACAAGTCTTTTACATTTCTACGGTGGAGACTGTTAAGGAGTTCTGGCATTTGTCTTTTTAATTTGCAACCTTATGTTAATAAACTATTAGTCTTTTTAGTTCCATAATTAAAAATAAGACTCTTACGTGTTTTCATTGGCTTCTTGTTGCGCTCCCGTTGCAAAATCAATGTAAAAGGGCTTTTTTTCTTTGTTTTTTAATTATGATTTCAGTGAACAGAGCGTTATCACACAGTGAAATCACTGGGAGCCAGGTCACTGTGGTGAAAGTTAGCACGAGGCTCTTTTGTAATCAGCCCTGAGTCATGTCTGGACATTCAGTGCTCGGTTTTGTACAGAACCAAGTGTCCCACCCTCCCTTTTTTAAAGGAAAGGTGAGTGGACTGTACTTGGGACTTGCTGGGTTTGGCTTTCATTGGCTTTTATTGTATGAAATAACCCAATTTTTATCCCACTCCTCCTTTAATGTCCACTTAGCCTTGCTTCATAACAATTTAGAAATAAGTATCTGAGGCAAGGATTAAAGATTATACAGTAAAGGGTTACACCACAGTGAGTTTGGGCTCAAGATATCTGCACCATCTTAAGAAACCAATTCCTTTTGTGTTGGTGTGGGCTGTACAAGATCTTTGTGCAGGATGAGTTCCTGCCTGTTCCAATGATTGGAACTCACATTTCCACAAGTGATGGGGTGGTGCTGAAAGTCCCTTACTCTATAAATGACAAATAAAGGCTCTGGGGAAGGTGTTTGTCCAAATCCCAGCCTGCTGCAACTCAGTCCTAAACTTTTCCAGCCTATCTTTATAAAAACCCAACCCAAACCCAACCAAGCTGTGTCTCAGCCAATTAGTGCTTAATTTCTACCAATTTTCATAGAGAATAAATTAATCTGTGTCCTGAATTTTTGTACTAGAGCCACATCTACCTGAAAGGGGTTTGTGCAGGTGAGCTGGTTTACAGGGACAGGGATGTAGGTGACAGTGACACAGGAGCAGGGACATGAGAGTGGTGTCACTGGTGTCCCTTTGGGCTGAGGGACATGGGAATGGTGTCACTGGTGTCCCTTTGGGCTGAGGGACATGAGAGTGGTGTCACTGGTGTCCCTTGGGCTGAGGGACATGGGAGCAGTGTCACTGGTGTCCCTTGGGGCTGAGGGACATGGGAGCGGTGTCACTGGTGTCCCTTGGGCTGAGGGACATGGGAGTGGTGTCACTGGTGTCCCTTGGGAGCAGTGTCACTGGTGTCCCTTGGGGCTGGGGAACATGGGAGCAGTGTCACTGGTGTCCCCTGGGCTGAGGGACCAGTTCTCAGCCTCATTCGTGAAATACCCGCTGGTGAGTAGCACAGGAGGACTCACTGAAAGGAGGGTGCCCAGGTGGGTACTGGGGACAGTGCCAGGGGTGATGCCCAAATGGGTACCAGGAGATGGTTCCAGGTCGGTACCGGGGGCAGTGCCCAGATCGGTACCAGGGCACGATGCTCAGGTGGGCACCAGGGATGACGCCCAGATGTGGCCCAGGTGTGTCCTGAGTCTCACTGAGCTGTACCCCGGGTCTATCCCAGCTGTGTCCCAGGTCTATACAAGTTCTCTCCCAGGTGTGTCCCTGCTCTGTCCCAGGTCTATCCCCGCTCTGTCCTGGGTCTATCTCCGCTCTGTCCCCGCTCTGTCCCGGGTCTATCCCCGCCCTAGCCCCGGTCTGTCCCCGCTCTGTCCCCGCGCTGTCCCCGCTCTGTCCCGGGTCTATCCCCGTTCTGTCCCCGCTCTGTCCCCGCGCTGTCTCCGCTCTGTCCCGGGTCTATCCCCGCTCTGTCCCCGCTCTGTCCCGGGTCTGTCCCCGCTCTGTCCCCGCTCTGTCCCTGCGCTGTCCCCGCTGCAGCTGTGCCCTCCGGCCACCAGGGGGCGCGGCTCTGGCGGAAGCGGCGGCGCAGGCGGAAGCGGAAGCGGAAACGCTCCTGGCTCCTCTTCCGGGCGGGCGGCGCGGCGGCAGCAGCGGGTGAGGTACCGGGAGCCGCCATCGGGGTCCATCCGGGGCCATCCGGGGCCATCTCCGGCCAGCGAGGCCTCCGCGGGGCAGCGGCGGGGAGCGGGAGGGGGCTCGGGTGGTCGGGGGCCCGCCCGGAGCTGCGGGACGGGGAGAGCTCGGGCCGCGGAGGGAGCTCGGCCTCCTTCAGTCTGTGCTTCCCTAAACCATTACTGAGTTAACACAGCCCGGCCCTCATGGGAGATGCCAGTGTGTGCACTTAAAAGTTAGGGAGTTGAGCAAAAATAGCCTTCATTTTAATTAATCCTTGGTTTAATTTGTCCTTTGCTATCAGGATCAATGGTGTCCTGACAGGCAATCGTGTAGCGCAGTTGTTAAAACTTAGGAGAGGCCAGAAGTAGCTTGAATTTGCAGATGTGTTACCTGTATGCTCTGGTGAGGAGCGTTATTGGAGGTGCTGGAGCAGCGCGATATATCTCTGCAAGCCCAAAATACACATTTTTATAAATGAGAGTGGCGGCGTGACTGCAGGGCAGGATCCAGCTGTCCTGAGTGCTTAGAATGGGGAGTTTTGGACTGGAAGAATGGTCTGATGTGCACCTGAATTAATCACAGGGGCACTGTCAGTCAGGGAAGAGGCTTCAGCCTTACTTGGAGCCCGGGATATCAGGGTTTATTGTTCAGTGGTGGGATTAAAAACAGTTGAAATTGCTTTTTATGTGGCGGCAGACTCTGTGGGCGTGAGTGATGGAATGCAGTGTGTGTGCTGTGAGCACCTCTCCAACTGTCGGTTGTTTTTTGTGGTTTTTTTTGTGCAGCCAAAATGAAGTTCAACCCCTTTGTTACCTCGGACCGTAGCAAGAACCGCAAAAGACACTTCAATGCCCCCTCCCACATCCGCAGGAAAATCATGTCCTCGCCCTTGTCCAAGGAGCTGCGGCAGAAGTACAACGTGCGCTCCATGCCCATCCGCAAGGACGACGAGGTCCAGGTACTGCCCTGCCCCAGCTGCTCTGGCAAACCTCAGCTTCAATCTGGGGACCTTTCAGAAGGAATTTCTCCATGGAAAGGCATTGGAACTGCCCTGGGAGGTTTGGAGTGCCCATCCTTGGAGGTGTCTAAGGAATGACTGGATGTGGCACTCAGTGTTCTGGGCTGGGGACAAGGTGGGGATGGGTCATAATTTGGGTTTTGATGATCTTGGAAGTGTTTTCCAAGCCAACGGATTCTGGGATGCTGTTTTCATGTGCAAAAGGGACGAGACAAGCTCCAATTGGTGCTGGAGCTTTGCCCTTATCATGGCAGAAATAACCTAAGTTAATTAAGTCATGATTTGGGCTGTCAAGTCTTCCTTAAATGCACTTCAGTGACAAGGATGACAAACAACACAAATGTGCTGGCAATTCTGCTGCATGCATTGATCATTGTGCTGAATTTAAAACTTTCAACAATAAAGCACAAAGCAAATAATTTCTTTTTTATAGCCTGTTTGCTGCCTGTGATATTTGAAAGATTGGATTAGAAATGAGTCCAAGTTAAGCGGTTTTTTATATAAAACACAATGATAAGTGAAAAATTAGGGTGAAAACTTAAAAACTGAAACCTGGATGCAGAGCTCCCTCATTAGGGTTTATGCAGGGAAAATGGGGGAGAAGCACAATCCTGATCCACTGTATGTTCCATGTTAGTAATGGTCAGGTCACTCATGGCTTTGTGGGGTGTGTGTGCAGGCAGCAGAGCTGGGGTTTCATCCTGGGGAGTTCACTCGTGGTTTGTAAGGTGGGGTGGCTGTTCCAGGGGTGTTTTGGGGCGTGGCTCAGTGTGCTGGCTGTGTGCAGGTGGTCCGAGGACACTACAAGGGGCAGCAGATCGGGAAGGTGGTGCAGGTGTACAGGAAGAAATACGTGATCTACATCGAGCGTGTGCAGCGCGAGAAGGCCAACGGCACCACCGTGCACGTGGGCATCCACCCCAGCAAGGTACGGGGACACCTGGGGGCTGGCACCTGCCAGCACAGCTCGGGGGGGCACATGGGCACTCTGGGATTGGGTGCAACTTGTTACCAAGTGGTGGGAATGCACCTGGGTCAGGGTAACCCCTGGGATCAGCAGATGGAGCAGCCCTGGGGGTGTTGGTGGCCAAGAGCTGGACCTGCCTTGGCCCCCAGGAGCCCCCCATGCCCTGGGCTGATCCCAGTGGGCAGTAGGAAAGGGGTTGGGATTGTGGCCCTGTGCCCTGCTCAGGTGAGACCTCACCTGCAGAGCTGTCCCAGCACAGCAAGGACCAGGAGCTGCTGCAGAGAGCCCAGAGGAGGCACCAGGATGAGCAGAGGATGGAGCAGCTCTGCTGGGAGAGCTGGGATTGTTCAGCCTGGAGAGGAGAAGCTTTGGAGTCACCCAATTGTGGCCTTGCAGGGCCTGAAGGAGCTGCAGGAAAGATGGAGAGAGAATTGTACAAGGGCCTAGCGTGACAGGACAAGGGGGAATGGCTTCACACTGACAAAGCAGGGTTAGATGGGATATTGGGAAGGAATTATTCCCTGGGAGGGTGGGCAGGCCCTGGCACAGGGTGCCCAGAGCAGCTGTGGCTGCCTCTGGATCCCTGGAAGTGCCCAAGGCCAGGTTGGACATAGGGGTTTGGAGCCACAAGGGATTGTGAGAGATATTCCTGTCCTGAACAAGATGATCTTTAGGTTCCCTCTAACCCGAACCATTCTGTGAATAAGGAATGGAGATGCTGCCTCAAGGAAATGTTAGGGTGCCATGAGCAGAGATGTGAGTTGAAACCAAGAACTCCTCGCTGTTCCTAGGAGTAGAAAGCTGCTAGAGGCTTTGGAATCTTGCTAAAATATTTCTTTGAAGAGATGGATAAAAAGGACAAAATGGATCACTTAAAACAATCCTTTGTCTTTGCTATGTGGCATTTGCACTAGGTGAGGAGGATGGATGTTAGAGAGGGCTTAAACAGATGCTCAGAATTGTGATTGTTCCTGCAGGCAGTTGTGACATGAATGTGACACTTCTGAATCTGGGTTTAGCCTGAGGTATTTAGGGATGGTGAAAACCAGGCAAAGCCTGTTTAAATCATAACAGGAAACATTTCAAACTAAACACAAGAACTTGCCAAAACCTGGCCTGAAGCAGATGAATTCAGTCTGCTTCAGCCTTGCCATGTGGGCACAGAGATGGAAGTGTTGGTGGAAAAAATCCAGTTGTAACAGGTTTTCTGGTGTAAATGGTTGGTGTGTTCAGCAGAGGGAGGGCAGAATTATTCCAAAACATCACAACTTGTGTGCAGCAACAACATCTGACTGACAAGGTGACATTGTGGTGGAGCCAGTGCATGTGTCTGTGTGCTGAACAGCAGTGACAGAAACGGAATTTTCTGCTGGTTCTTGACTCTGAAAATTTTCAGTAATTGGGAACTAGACCTCAATAAAGCTTTGCATAAAGATTCTGGTTATTAATGCAGAGAGCAGAGGAATGTTTTATTACAGACTTGCAGTGGGCTGTGTGAACAGTTTGTACCTCTCCTGGGCAAAGAGGTGGGAATTGCAATTAAGAGAGACCTAAATGCACAAGGAATTAAGGAGTAAGTGTGCTTATATGGGATTTCTAAGATTTGAGTGTTACTTCTATTTTCCAAGTAGTGCTTTCAGTAATACCAGCACAGCAATTTCTTTGGCAGTTTGAGGAGGCAGGAACAGGAATTATTGGATAAATCCTCCCATAGGAGGATGATGAGGCAAAAGGTGCCTGAAAAAGCTGTGGCTGCCCCATCCCTGGAAGTGTCCAGTGCCAGCTTTGCTGCCTTTGTGGTGGTGGGACCAGCTCTGTGCTGTGCTTCAGGTGGGTTTGGTATTGCTTGATGCCCTTCCCTCTGGACAAGGAACCCTGAATTCCTTGTGCTCTCTGCAGGTGGTGATCACCAGGCTAAAGCTGGACAAGGACCGCAAGAAGATCTTGGAACGTAAAGCCAAGTCCCGCCAGGTGGGCAAGGAGAAGGGCAAGTACAAGGAGGAGACAATCGAGAAGATGCAAGAATAGATGGTTTCCTGATTTACACCATTAAAAAACTGCTAAAATTCAACCTGTTGTGTGTCTTCTTTCAAAAATCTTGATGTGTCCTGCTCAGCATTTTAATATTCCTTCTTGTGTTTTGACTTTGTAAAAAATACACTGAATTAAAAAGCTATTTTTACTATATTTTATATATATTTTAAACCTATTTTTAGTGCTAAGAATAAGTTTTTTCCGTGTAATGTTTAAACCAACCTGAAAGAGCAGTGCAATTCTGAAACATCCATCTTAATAGTCATTGTATTTGTGTCTCTTCATTAGATACGTCCATATTTTTTTCATATAATTCTGTATATATAATTAATTCAGGTCTTACTTTAATGGCTGAGCTTGAGGATAAAGGGATGCTCACAAAGCAGAGCTGACTGGTTTGGGTAAGGGATGGGGTGAAGCACTCTCAGTGCTGTTGGTGGTGCTATTTTGGATTAATTTTCTGTCAGAGGAGATTTTTTCTGGCATTTTGTACCTCCATAATTGAGAGCTGCTGCAGCGTGTTGAAAACAGCCCTGCAGTTCAATGACATTACTGGCTCAGTGAATGGCCCTCTAATTGCTGGTACAGAGGGAAAGAAATTCATCTGCCTGAACAACAATGGAATCTAAAAAAGAGGATGCTGGCAATCAAGGAAAATTGCATTTTAAAAGCCATTCATCGGCCTGACAGAAGCTGTGTTAGGTGCCCTGTCACTGGGTTTCTCTCATGAAGCCTCAGAGGTTTTGTCCCTCCAGCTCGTGCTGCTTAATGTGAAATTTCTTCACCTTGAGAGGATGTTTGAGGAATTTCGTGAGGTTTGTTCATTACTGGGACCTTTCCAGGCACGGAGCTGCTCTGTGGGATCGTGTCCCGCATCCCCAAATCCCTGAGGAGCTCAGAGCCAGCCCTTACTCGGCAGGAGCTTCGTGTCCCCCTATCCAGCAGCCTTTTTGGGATGGGGATGAGAGCCGGGCCGGGCCGGCGATCCCGTGGCAGCCCCGATCCCACTGCAGCCCCGATCCCATGGCAGCCTCCATCCCACCGCAGCTCTGTTCCTATTGCAGCCCCGATCCCATTGCAGGCCGATCCCATCGCACCCCGATCCCATTGCAGCCCTGATCCCATTGCAGCCGCGATCCCATTGCAGCCGCGATCCCATTGCAGCCCCGATCCCATCGCACCCCGATCCCATCGCGGCTCCGATCCCATGGCAGCCTCCATCCCGCCGCAGCTCTGTTCCCATTGCAGCCTCGATCCCATGGCAGCCTCCATCCCACCGCAGCTCTGTTCCCATTGCAGCCCCGATCCCCTCGCACCCCGATCCCATTGCACGTGCCCCGCGCGCTCCCGCGGCCCGTTAGCTCCCGCCCCGCGCGCTCCCGCCGGTCCCGGTGACGTAGCGGGCGCTGATTGGCGGGCGCGGGTCGTGGCGTGGCGGGAGGCACCGCCCCCGCGCCCCTCAGAGCGCGGCCATGGCGTACGGCGGCCTGGCGGTGCCCATCATCGTCATGAGCGTGTTCTGGGGGGTGGTCGGCGGCGTCCTGCCCTGGCTCGTACCCAAGGGGCCGAACCGCGGGTGAGTGACCGGGGGGCGGCGGGTACCGGGCACCTTCCCTTCCGTCCGCCGCGGGTGCGGGGGAGGCCCCGGCGGAGGCGGCCCCGGAGCCCTGAGACGCCCCGAGGTTGCTCGGGCCCGGGGCCGCCTCAGCCCCGCGGGCTCCCGGTGCGGCGCTGGCGCAGTGCGGACGGGCCTGGGCCGGGCCGAGATGCAGCGGAGTAGCCGCTGCTGGGGCTGCCAGAGCCGGGCAGTGCCCCCGGAACCCCCCACGGGTTTGGGTTTCCTCTGAGGCCCTGGCACAGGGTGACCAGAGAAGCTGTGGCTGCCCCTGGATCCCTGAAAGTGCCCAAAGCCAGGCTGGACGGGGCTTGGAGCAGCCCGGGATAGTGGAAGGTGTCCCTGCCCAGGGCAGGGAGTGGAACGAGATGAGATTTAAGGTCTTTTCCAACCCAAACCATTCTGTGTAAGCTCTGCAGACAGAACGTCCTGTGTCAAGGTGGCTCATTGTCAGGCGGTGTTTGAGCAACAACTTCCTCTTTCTTTCCTTACTTGACCTTTCCTAACTTACTCCACCGTCCTCTGGTTTCTCACTGGGTGACACTGGAAGGGCTGCAGTAGTGGGTTGCAGTTTTGGGTTAAATGTGTGCTGGTGCCCTTGTAGCTGAGGTCAACAGCAGGGTTTCCAAGCTGAGGCTTTGCCTGCAGTGGTTGTGGCTGCTCAGATTAAAAAGCAGACAAGTTTTTTGTCTTTCTCTTTTCTCTAGGAGATAATGGCTTCTTAATCTCTCTCCCTCTCTCTGATACTCCTTCTACTCTACAGGTACCACTGTGTTTTCTTTCAGTTCTTTATCTAAACCCTCAATATTCCTCAGTCTCTGATATTTCCTACCTCGTTTTCCAACTTGATGTGCTTTTTATGCCTGGAAACGTGCCTGTCCTCAGAAATACCTTGGAAAAATGGCTTCCAGGCATGGAAGTGTGGGAATTCTGTGCCTCACCAACAGAAGTTACTGACCTATCATGAGGTTTTGTTACTCAGTTGGGGGAGGAAATACATAGATGGAAATGCCTTTTTAGAGTTTAAAAAGAAAAAAAATACCACTCCACTTTGCCACTGAGTTCCATGAGCTGCAGAGATCATTGTTGGAAAATCTCATTTCCTCTCCTCCCATTTCAGACCCATCGCTGTGTGTATTACTGCAGTTTTGCCATTTTCAATTTTAAGAGTTTGGTTCTTCCTTCTTTTCAGCTTTCCAGTGGTTTCAGACACAGTTGTGTTTCACCAGGAAAGGACAATTTTTACACTACAGCTTTGAGGTTTTATTTTGTATTCAGTTTGTAAACCCCTCATTCATGATATAAAATTAGAAGTGACAATTTGACACTGAAATTTTCCTTAAGTAGAATTCCACAAATGGAGAAGGCATTTATTGTGTGCATCCACCCTTAGTGGTTCACTAATGTGAAGGACACTGCATCAGATTTTGCTGCTGTTCACAGTTGTTAAATCCAGTTGTAAACTGTTGGGCAGAGCTGTGTCAGTCCTGCAGACCTGAGCTTCTGCAGTTCACTCAGCTGGAAGAAGCCAGAACATTCACGTTGAGTCATCTTTCATGTGATCAAAGTTAAACTTGTCCTTGTTTGCCGTGGGGTTTGTGGCTGTGAATCTTGTGGTCAGTCACAACACCACACCTGATGACATTTCTCTCCTTCCTCTTGGCAGGGTTATCAACACCATGCTGGTGACCTGTGCTGTTTGCTGCTACCTGTTGTAAGTACAAATAATGTCCTGCCTCTTGAGCGAGGCCCTCTCCTGTTATCATCACAAATTCCTTTTTTTATAGCCTCAGAACAGTTAGAACCTTTTTGAATGTGTCACAGAGATTTAGGCACCACCTTTGACAGCTCTTGGAATTCTAAGTTCTAAAGACCTTCAGTGTGCTGAAGAAATTTTCCAATTGGAAAATAGTGAATTAAAAGGAGCCTGAATTCCTCTTGTTGTCCTCTGACACATAACTGTGAGCTGTCCTCTGCATGGACTTGCTGTTCCTCCTCTCCAGTTCACTGCCTCATTTGCTCAAGTGTGATGATATTTGGTCCATTCTAAGATTTTCCTGATTCTTAGGGTTTTTTTTATTTTTTTGTCTTTTTCCTTTCCACTTTATACTTAATTCTGAGGTAATACTAATTCAAACCCACTGAACAGTTTTCCTTTTAGATTCCTTGAATAGATTCTCAAAATCTGGTCGAGGGTGGGTGGAAAAGCTGCTGCATGGTGGTTTTTTTTGTGAGACTTTGATATATTAAGACCATTTCTGTTCAAATGCACAGTGTATTTTGAGGCTGCCTCCTTTCTGTAGGAGATTTGGTAGCAATAACAAAGTGACTTGTTGAGAGCTCTTCATATATTTTCTTTTTTGTCAAGATTTAAGCCAGCTGTATCTGGAAGCTGCAAGACAAAGCTTGCTTGTGTTTTTCTCTCTTTTTAAAGACTCTAGAGGCTTATCTTGTAAAAAAAACAAAACTGCTGTGCAGAAATAGCTTTGAAAGAATTTGTTGTGGAGAATAAAGTGGTAAAAGTCTTGTTTGATCTTAAGGGTTAACTCGTTGCAAAAATTATCACTTGGAGTTCCATTCGAACCTGAGTAGTATTTGTACTTTCTTGAGCTATTTAGGCATTATTTATGCTATTCAAAGGAATTTAATATGAATATTTAGAGAAATGCATCTCAGTGTTGACATGTTCTAGGAGAGGCCTGTTGGGTTAGACTGTGGTACAACTTATGCAGGTTTGGTTTAGGTTAATAGTGTGATAATCAGGATTAATATCAGTTTATACCCTAAAAAATTAATTTCTATTCAGAGCATTTGATATGTGAACTCCTAGGAATTCATTCTTGCTTAACTGTACAAGTCCAGCAACCTTGGGTCTGTTTTGAATCCTCAGAAGTTTTTTAAATTAAGTTTTGCTGAGTGGATATAGAAATTGGAGAATCTGTGCCAGCAGTTTGAATTTGAGATTGAAATTTGAGAATCTCAGTGCTATGAAGGTCTCCTTGCCCTGCACATGAAGTTTGTAGCAGCCCAGTCTTATAACAGGTCCCAAATGTTTGGCTAAGAAAAGGCAACTTTTTGGTGGATTTTTACTGCAACATAAATTGGGTGATTTTTAATTAGGAGGAAGGTTGAGCTTTGTTTTAGTTTTGTTTAAATTTAAAGTTCTCACTTGGTTTTTTTCCTACAGAAATAACGTCCCACTCTTCTAAAACCCTTGAGGCTTAGGGTTTGGTGTCTTTATTATTTGAAGGAGGGTTTTCATTGAAGTAGAGACCTCGTGGCATCTGCAGCATCTCCTGGATTGTGATTTGAAATGTATTTGTTGTAGAATTTCTTAACTTTTGGCTGAATTCTGTGAACTCTTCAAATGTATTTAACTTGTAGGTTTAATTGATCATTTTTATCTAAACAGACCCATTATA